TCTAACTTCAACTGCCTGCCGTTGGATCATGTTAAACGTTTGTCTCCTAGATAGAAGAGCTCATTATTAAATTTATTATATTTATTCCCCATGTAGATACTTATAGACTTCAATTAAATCAACTTTTAACCTTCTCTTTGTTAAGCGAAATAGACGGAGCTCCTTGAGTCAAACACTATCAGGCATGTTTTCTAATCCTTTAATCATTCTTGTGGGTCTCCTATGAACCCTCTCCAATTATCAACATACTTCTTGCACCGTGGGCACCACAACTGAACATGGTTTTCCAGCAGCAGTCTCACCAGTGCCAAATACAGAAGAAAAATAACCTCGCTACGCCTTTTTGAGATTGCCATGTTTATGCATCCAAAGATTGTATTAGCTCTTTTGGACACAGCACTGTTCTGGGAGGTCACGTGCAGGTGATTATCCACCATGACCCTGCAAATCTTTTTCAGTCACTGCTTCCCAGGATAGAGCCTCCTTCTTGTAAGTATGGCCTACATTCTTCGTTCCTAGATGTACACATTTCCATGTAGCCACATTAAAACTCAAATTGTTTGTCTTTGCCCAGTTTACCAAGCAATCCAGATGGCTCTGTATCAGTGAACTGTCCCCTTCATTAGTTACCCCTCCCCCAATTTTTTGTGTCTTCTGCGTACTTTATCAATGATGATTTTGTTTTCTTTCGGGTCATGGATAAAAATGTTAAATAGTGTAAGATCAAGAACCGATCCCTGTGGGACCCAACTGAAAAACACCCACTTGATGATGATTCCACGTTTACAGTTACAGTTTGAGACCTATCAGTTAGCCAGTTTTTAATTCATTTAATGTGCACTATGTAAATTTTACATCATTCTATTTTTTTAATCAAAATGCCATGTGATACCAAGTCAAATGCATTAGAGAAGTCTCAGTATATTGAGTAAACACTTTCACCCTTATCAACAAACTTGTAATCTCATCAAAATAAGGTAACAAGTTATTTTAACAGGATCTATTTTTTTATAAATTTATGTTGATTGGCATTCATTACATTACTGTCATTAATTCTTCATTAACTGAGTCCCATATCAGCCACTGCATTATCTTGCCTGGGATCAAGGTCATTCTGACAGACTTACAATTAACTGGGCCATCCCGTTTATCCTTTTTAAATATGGGCATAACATTAGCTTTGTTTCTGTCTTCTGGAGCTTCCCTAGTGCTCCAAGACATTGAAAATTAACATTACTGATCCAGCAAGCTCTTCAGCCAGCTCTTTTAAAACTCTTGGAGGCAAGTTATCTGGACCTGCTAATTTTAAAATGTCTGTCTTTGGTATCTGTTGTTTAACATTCACCAGAGATATTAGTGGAATGCAAAGCGTGTTAACATCACTACTAAGGGACCTAAGAGAGTTAGGTGCCCGCCTCCTATTGACTTTCAATGGGAGTTGCATGCACTGACCTGAAATGAAAATAGGGTCCATGGACCTGCAGTGGGAGTTGGGTATCTCACTCCCTTAGGTTCTGTTAAATCTCAACCAAACTCCACTGTACTGAGTGGAGTTATTCTGAACCTTAACTGGTGGTAGGATGTGGCCATTGGCTTTTCCAGACCCTGTCTCCAGTATTTCTCCTCACAATCCCACCTGCTGATCGCAACTTGCTCTTTCTGATGTATTCACACTGAGGGAAAGTGGTGTAGAGGGAGAGATGCAGGAGCTGAACTAATACAAAAAGGAATTGTTAGACAGACAGATCATATAAATTTCTATGCGAAAGGATGTTGCGTGGCCAAGACTTTCATGTCTGGGAACCTAAAGATAAGTTTCTAATCCAGGACTTTCCAAGGGGCCTAAAGGTGTGATACATAAGAGAACTCAATGAAAGGGGATAGACAAAAACAAGCAAGTCAACAAAAAGCCAGCTATCTTCCTTAAAGTCCTTCAAGGTTTATATGTGTTTGCCATTGTCCACCATCGTAACTAGGGAGGGTTCTCTGAGTCCTTTCACCAGAAATCCTTAAAATATGACAGCATGAACTGTCTGGGAAACATTTCAATTTTGTCCTTCTCTTGAAACAGTCGGTGCTCCTATCAACATAGGCTCGGATTGTCAAAGAGTCCTATGGGAGTTAGGTGCCTGACTCCCACAGAAAGTCAATAGAACTTGGGTGCCTAATTCCCTTAGGCTCCACTGAAAATCCCAGCCTAGATCTCAACTAGTTGAGTGAGTCCAGTAAGCTAGTTCAACCTGATGATATGGTCTTGATGCAATTATCACTGGGTGAAATACTTAGTACTGTAATGGTAGAAAGTTGTATTCTTCTGGCTTCCTAATTGCTCTATAAATTGCAAAATGCAATCAATTCCCCTATGACATTAATTTAAATATGATTATCACAAGCAATCTCAATGGATAATCATGCATCAGCATGATCCAAGGAGGCTGATTTCTTCTATAAAGCTGATAATAACCCAGAGAAAGGCAAAGGAAGATTTTGTGTAATGCAGTGTAGCCGGACCAGACCAGCCTGTCAAGGAGAGTGGAGGGGTCTTTACAAAGAGAGTGAAAGCATATGATGAAGATGAAAGACAGAAGAGCGAGGGTGGAAACTGGATCATGATTCCCAAAACCAGCCACTAGCAATACAACAGCCTCTCCTCATACCCTGATACATCAGTCACTCCTTCCCAGTCACAACTAAAGGTAGGAGTGAATGAAAATTGTCCACCAACATTTTCTTTTGTTACAGGAAATGAGATTTTCAACAAAAGGAATGTTTGCATGGAAAATGTCTGTTTTCCTCTTGTGACGAGGCTGTGAGAGTCTTTTACTTAACGGGGGCGTCAGCCCCCGGACACCACCAGACTGTTAGCCACCCAAGCAATCACCAGGGTTTGGCATAAGTATGTCATAAGCAGGGCCAGCTCTGGCTTTTTTGCTGCCCCAAGCAAAAAAATCACAACCAGGGTGCAGGGAGGCCGGAGCGGCGAACCAAAAAAAAAAAAAAAAAAAAAAAAAAAAGGGGGCAAACTTTCGGTGCCACCTACTTGGCGGCTCACAGCCGCCTCCCTCGGCTGCGCTGGCAAGCCTCTGGGTGGGTGGCGACTGCACTCTGGCTTGCGGGACTCCCAGCGCTGCAGACATGCCCCGGGCAGCGGAGTGCGCGCCCCAGCTAGTGTCGGGGGGGAGGGAGTGGGGGAGAGAGAGAGAAGGGGGCGGCCAGGGCTTCCTTCAGCCGGGGCACTCGCCACTCCGCTCACCACTCGGCCTCTCCCGCCGTGCCGCCTGCCGGGAGGGCTCCGTGCCGCTCCTGCCTGCAGGTGAATTGAAAGTCGTCGGTCGGCAGGGAGGGAAGGACGCGGGCTGCCGGTCTTGCTGCAGACCTGGCACTGGCTGGGGCAGATGGAGCGCGCAGCCCTCTCCCAGCAGGGCGCTCCCCTCCTCCACACCGCCACCCCCTACAGTGGCGCACTGAAAGTAATTGGCGAAACAAAAGAAAAACAAACAAACAAACAAAACACCAGGGCGCAAGGCGGCCGGAGCGGCGAACCAAAAAAAAAAAAAAGTTGGCCGTGCCACCGTAGGATTGGACGGAATGTTGCCCCTTTAGACTCTGCCGCCCCAAGCACGAGCTTGCTCGGCTGGTGCCTGGAGCCGGCCCTGGTCATAAGCTTCTATTGGATACCTCCCAGGCCAACATTTGTGGATAAGTACCATGAAAACGGCCTGCTAGGTGTAGTGAGTTTGTCAGGCCTGTCTGGAGTGCTGTTACTGAACAAGTATTGGCAAATAAATCTGTTAGTCTTTAAGGTGCCACCGGACTCCTTGTTGTTTTTGTTATTGAACAGTGACTCCATGGAGGGGTTCTTAGGGACATAGAGGATCGAGGGAAAGAAAGGGTTAAGAGTAACTAAAAGGTTATAACAACAATTGAACCATTTCTCCAGATTTCACCATTCACAGCTATGCCCCAGCCCCAGACCCCTCCCTGGCATCTTCCCAGGCAGATGGAATGCCCAGGATGAGTCCTGGAGATGGGTGTAGCAGCATCGTAAACGCTGGTCGGCTTAAAGAAAATACAAGGGCAAGATCCTTTCCTGGGACCCTGGTCTGGAGTCCCACGGAGGTCCCAGTTGGTTCTAGGTAGCCAGCACCAGGTCGGATCTTTGCCTCTGGATCCTGGTCTCCTCAGGCTTGGATCTGCCTGATCCATACATCAGGTCCCACGTCAGTTCAGGGTCTGCCTTTTTGGGGAGTGGGAGCTAAGCACAGAATCCCTGAGCTGTTCTGCTTCTTATTCCAAACTCAAACTCTAAGCAGGCTGAGAAGTGGTGTCTGGAGGCTCTGGAGTCATTATTGTTGTAGTCCATGGGTAGGTCCCCTAGAAGCTCAGTCCAGCATTCCAGGAGCCGACAAACTCTGAAATCAGTCCATTTATAGATTACATAGGAACACAGGACAAGCACATAATTTCCAGGTCCTGATTCTGATCTCACTTGTTCAACTGTCCAGTGGTAGTCTCTCCTTAAGAAGTTAATGTTGTAAAGAACAATTTAAGTGGAGTCAGAATTAGACCAAGGCAATTTCTCCTGTGAGGAAAGGCTGCAAGATTGGGCCCATTAGTATTGGAGCAATTCCAACACTCTTGCTTAGCTCCTTATACCTTTACTGAGTGGTATAAAACTTCCCATTGGCTAGCATGAGAAACCAGTCCTTATGTTGCTCTGTATAGCTTAATTAAAGTCCTTATTCAGCAAAGCACTTGGGGCCATATTTTTAAAGGTATTTGGGCACCTAGCAGGATTTTCAAAAGCACCTAGGCACCAAGAACTCATAGATTTCAATACAGGTCCTAATTGCCTTTGGCACCAATCTGCAATTTTAAGCACCTATGGCTTTTGAAAATCTGGCCTTCATCACTTGCTTAAACCAGTGCAAGTTCAGGGTTTCCCAATTCTGCTTTTGAAAGTCCTGCCTCTCCTGTATAGTATTTTTATATTTACCTAGATGACCCACATACAGAAAGCAGAAGTGGACAATCAAACGGTCGTCACCAAGTTCATCCTCTTGGGATTCGGGGATCTCCCTGAACTGCATACTCTTCTCTTCCTGCTGTTTCTAGTGATCTACATTGTGACCGTGGCCGGGAACATCCTCATCATTGCTCTAGTTGTGGCTGATCAGCACCTGAACACCCCCATGTACTTCTTCCTCGGGAACTTGTCCTTTGTGGAGACCTGCTACAGTTCCACCATCCTACCCAGGATGCTGTCCAGTCTCCTGACTGGAGACAGAACTATTTCTGTCTGTGGCTGCATCATGCAGTTTTATTGTTTTGGTTTCTTGGCATGTACAGAGTGTTATCTCCTAGCAGCAATGTCTTATGACCGGTATTTAGCTATATGTAAACCTCTGCATTATGCAGCCCTTATGAATGGCAGAACCTGGGTTCTAGCAGCTGGGTCATGGCTATGGGCATTTGTGGCTAGTACCATAACTGTATGTTTGATGTCACAATTAACATTCTGTGGCCCCAGTGAAATCAACCATTTCTTCTGTGATCTCAACCCATTGATTAAACATTCCTGTCATGACACCAACCTGATCACGCTGCTGAGTTTCACACTCACCTCCATAGGTGTCCCTTTCCCATTTCTATTAACCCTGGCATCCTACACTTTTATCATCACCACCATTTTAAGAATCCCTTCCACTACCGGGAAGAAAAAGGCATTTTCTACCTGCTCCTCTCACCTCATGGTGGTGACAATTTTCTATGGGACTATAATCATTGTCTATATTTTACCAGACACTGACACTCTTAGAGACCTCAACAAAGTGTTCTCTGTCTTCTACACTGTCCTGACTCCCCTGGTCAATCCCCTCATCTACAGCCTGAGGAATAAAGAGGTCAAGGAGGCCCTGAGAAAGATCATCCATAAATTGATGGTGCTCACAGGAATTCAGAAGGAGTGACTGCTGTGGGAACAAATCCATCTGGCTGAACTAGCAGTGGAGGTAGCATCTAGGTGCCCTCTAGCTCATGCCCATTGGAGCTTCCATGGGGAATGTGAGGTCATACTAAGTTTTGGGACAGCCGCATTTCCATTAAATACTAGAGCTCCTATTTACTACTGCCCTCACTGCAAACATAACTGTGATACGCTCTGCACTCCACACAGCACAATTCAAGATTCCAGTTCCGTATTTCATCTGCTCTTCTGTTCTAACTGAGTTGGGAAAACACATTTTGCATAGCCCTGGTTTTGGATTCCAGTGGGTGGGTTTGGATTGTTACACTATTTGGTCTCTCCTTTGTGTCCTGGATTCCTAAATGCTCCCTAGTTTTGTCTCTGGGAAGACTGTATTTTTGTAATATATGTTCTCTTGAAAAGATTAGTAGGTTTAGAAGACCCAAATAGTTTCCTATCAATCAATCAATCAATCAATCAATCAATAATCAGTCAATAAATGATAAAAATGTTTTTGTTGAAACATCAATTTATAACAACAAGTCATTGTTAAGTAAAAAATTGTAAGTACGTGTGGAGAAAATGCTACTCAATTCTGTATTTGAAAAACGCCAGGATCTATTCTCCTGAAGCACATTGGGTAAAATTATGAAAGTGCCTAAATGCCTTAAAAGCACAAATCCCATTGACTTTCATTGAAACATACATTTCTAAGTACCTTGTTCACTTTTGAAAATAGAACTTAGGCTCCTAAATCACATAGAGGCTTTGCAAATTCTACCCATTGAGTAGTACCTTGTGCCTTAGACGTCCTTTCAAAGTAATATACAGGATCTAATTCAAGGCATAACAGTAGAGGGAGCCACTAAGCAGCAGCGCCCACAGTATAATTAGGCTCAACATCCTAGGGGCAGGTAGGGTACCAAATAGTGATAGTTTTGGTTTTGTGGCTGAATGTTATCTGCTAGCAGCAATGTCTTATGATTGGTATTTATCAATATGTAAACCACCCTATTATGCAGCCCTCGTGAATGGCTGTAGCATAAGTACCTTTCTGACTATTACCATAGTAACATCTTTGCTGTAACGAATAATGTTCTGTGGCCACCAATGAAATTGACCGTTTCTTTTGTGACTTCACCCCACTGATCAATCTCTCCTGCCATGGCATCACCTGTATGACTGGTGACCTTCAGATTCTCTTCCATGGACACCCTGCCCCATTTCTATTGACCCCGGCATCCTATGCTTGTGTCATCACCACCATCCTGAGAATCCCTTCCACGACCACAGGCAAAAGACCTTTTCCACCTGCTCCTCTCACCTCACTGGGGTTACAATTTTCTATGGGGGCTAGTAGCTGGTTTGCTACCAAATGCTGTTGCACTAAGAGACCTGAACAAAGAGATCTCCACCTTCTTGTCTCCACCTCTCAATCCCTTCATGAAGGCAAAGGAAACCTGGAGAAAAAGCTGTCAGGAAATCTGTAGAGTTCAGCAGAATTTAGGCCAGTTAAAAAAAAAACCAGTTTAAGGAGCAGTTAAAGTCACCCCTTGGTCACAGCAGAGTCTAGTGACCTTGGCTGGGATTTTCAGAGGCCTAAGTGAGCTTGGCATTCTACTGCCACTGAATTTTACGGTATGGTTTTCTAAAGCACCTCAGTGATTTAATTGCCTGAACAGAGAGAGGGAAGTAAGGAAGGTGTCTAGGGTGGCATTTTTAATAGTGACAAAGGGCCAGATTTTTAAAGGTATTTAGGCACTTAAGGATCAGGTGGGGCCAAATGGGATTTCAAAAGCACCTAGGCACCTAATATCTTCTTTGTTCAATGGGAGTTAGCCACATAGTGCATTTTAAAGTGCCTATTCACCTATCTGCCTCTTTAGGAAACTAAATACCTTCAAAAAATCTGTCTTAAGTGACTTAGGTGCACAAATCCCATTGACTTTCCATGAGGAGTAGGACACCTAACTCATTTCGGCCTCTAGGTATAACCGAATGGCATAGAATCATAGAATATCAGGGTTGGAAGGGACCTCAGGAGGTGATCTAGTCCAACCCCCTGCTCAAAGCAGGACCAATCCCCAACTAAATCATCCCAGCCAGGGCTTTGTCAAGCCTGACCTTAAAAACCTCTAAGGAAGGAGATTCCACCACCTCCCTAGGTAACCCATTCCAGTGCTTCACCACACTCCTAGTGAAAAAGTTTTTCCTAATATCCAACCTAAACCTCCCCCACTGCAACTTGAGACTATTACTCTTTGTTCTGTCATCAGGTACCATTGAGAACAGTCTAGATCCATCCTCTTTGGAACCCCCTTTCAGGTAGTTGAAAGCAGCTATCAAATCCCCCCTCATTCTTCTCTTCTGCAGACTAAACAATCCCAGTTCCCTCAGCCTCTCCTCATAACTCATGTGCTCCAGCCCCCTAATCATTTTTGTTGCCCTCCGCTGGACTCTTTCCAATTTTTCCACATCCTTCTTGTAGTGTGGGGCCCAAAACTGGACACAGTACTCCAGCTGAGGCCTCACCAATGTTGAATACAGGGAAATGATCACGTCCCTCGATCTGCTGGCAATGCCCCCACTTATACAACGCAAAATGCCGTTAGCCTTCTTGGCAACAAGGGCACACTGTTGACTCATATCCAGCTTCTCGTCCACTGTAACCCCTAGGTCCTTTTCTGCAGAACTGCTTCCTAGCCATTCGGTCCCTAGTCTGTAACAGTGCGTGGGATTCTTCCGACCTAAGTGCAGGACTCTGCACTTGTCCTTGTTGAACCTCATCAGGTTTCTTTTGGCCCAATCCTCTAATTTGTCTAGGTCCCTCTGTATCCTATCCCTACCCTCCAGCGTATCTACCAGTCCTCCCAGTTTAGTGGCATCTGTTAGGGGGATTTAGAAACTACAGACTTTCCCCCTTCCCCCCTCTTCTGGATGGATATACAGGGCCCTGGGCCAATTGTGTCTCTCATTAAGTTGTTGGATTGGTATTGATCACTGCATTTAGGGCTATGGGTATAAGAGTCTGAGCATTCAGGGCTGTAGAGGGGAGACCCCAGTGAATGAGTCAAGCAAAGTTGAGCAATACACCTGAAACCATTTAGACAAACCGGACACATGGTGCAATAGGCAAGAGCTAGCCCAGGGATGATGGCATTTCAAATACACAATTCAATTACTGATTCATTGCAGCATGATAGTCTCATAGCAATTTTCAATTTAAATAATAGAAAAATAAATAAAATCTTTCTTTCCTCAAGCCATGACAATAAAATCAACACTTTAGCACAACTCAATAGGTGATGCTTTTGCATATCATCTAGACATTCCTCTCCTTAGTGCATGGACAATGGACAATCTTTGAAGAAATGGTGTATTGTCCTTGGTTTAGTGATGGAGTTTCTGTTATGGAGAGTTGTTGCAAACAAGAAAAGAGTTTGCTCTCTGCCTGAATCTCTCTAGCTAGAATCAATGCTTGGGGAAGAGTTGTTCTCCAAAAAACAGACATTGGTATCTGGACTGCTATTTCTGAAAGAGGGGTTTGCCTTCATACCATTTATGACCACCTCTGTTCCAGGACTGGCATAAATAAACTTCAGTAAGAATTCACCCAGACTCCACATCACTGATTTTTCCTCCAACAGGAAATGAAATTGCAACTACCCAATATCTGATACTGCTCAGCAGAGGGACAGACAATAAAGTCGGTCTCACTTAGTTCTTTACGCCACTTTTCTTTCTATCCACGGAATAGTCTATTCCTAACTCCCTAGAGAGGGCTTTGAGTTCTGGCATAGAAGTGATTCATGCTAGCGGTCTCCTTGTCTCTTGAACCTGCCTTTGATTTCTGGCCTAGTCCCTAGCTCTTGTCTCTTTCCCTCACAACCAGCTTTTAACACTGTCAGGAAAGGCTGTTTAGAACATGGCCTGACTCACCATTGTGCTGCTCTAGGTTTACCCTGGACATATCCACTGGGCATCAGTCCATTTTCAAACAGTGTCAGAGCTCCCGTGCATGGCCTGTTACTCCCTTGCATCACCAAAGATTTTGGTGGGTGATCTGAACTGGGAACTGTGGGCTTGCCTCGTCTGGACATTATTTAGTAAGAAATAATCAAGGATAGGATTTTCAAAAGACGGGGATTATGGTGCCTAAATCTATTGTGCCCAAAGCCCATTGAACATCAATGGCAGTAGGCACCTAACCCCCCTGGGATCCTTTGAAAACCCCAGCATAATATTAGTAATAATAATTAATAAATCCTCGAGGGATTCGAACAAGGATCTGTTATATCTGTGGTGACTGCCCTGACCAGTGTTGGGGTGTCTCTCAGACCATCCCATTGAGGCAGGTCCATTTTGTATTAAATAAATAATTCAATGTGCATCGGGCTAGAGAAAGCATGTGACCCACTTTACAGTCCACTGCTTGGGGTACTCACCTGAGGGGCTCTACCCTGGCTGCCTAGTGATGTCAGTGTGGGATTCCAGGTGCTGGGCTTGACCTATTAGGCTTTGTTTCTGAACAATACTGCCAGAGCTTAACCAGCTGAGGAATTCAATCTGGGCCGTTCTTGCGATGAAGGAAATGGGGCTGCTTGTAGAGCATTCTTCATAAGCAGCGCTTCATTTTGGGTAAGATTTTCAGAAGTCCCTACAGGACATTTTAAAGGTATTTTAGCATCTAAGCACCTAAAACTCATTGATTTCAGTGGGTGTTAGGTGCCCAGGTGCTTCTGAAAATCCCACTAGATGCATATAATACCTTTAAAAATCTGGGCCTGAATAATTTAGGAGCAAGCCCCATGTCCTAAAAGTGACTTCAGGCCAGATTTCCCAAGGTATTTAGGGACCTAAAGATGCAGATAGGGGCATGCTGGGATTCACTAAAATGCCTAAGTGAGCTACACTCCTAAAATTTAGGCAGGTTTGAAAATGTAACTGCTGTATACGAGCATCTAAACTGCAGCTTGGTGCCTAATGGGATTTTCAAAAGCATTA